ACATGAAAATTATCTTGTTAATATGGATGTGTATAGAAGTTAGCTGTTATTTTTAGTTTCTAGTATTCTTTTTATCATTTTTAGCTTCTAATGTTCTTATTTGTACACATTTTAATTTCAGTAACAATGATTTCAAATCGAGCTTATCTTGAGTCGAGCTTGTACTCAGCTTGACAAGTTGTATTAATGAGCATTTACCGAGCTCTATCGAGATGAATTATTTTTAATCAAATCGAGCTCGAGTTGAAAATTTATAAACGAGCCGAGTTCAAGATAAACAAAAACTCGACTCGACTCGTTGAGAAGAAGATAATAATTAACAAGATTGCAACCATCCTATCCAACTAACAAAATTCAATGTGTGCAGCTAAACCATATGCTACAAAGATTCCGTAAAAAGGGCTTATAGCTAAGGTAGCTATATTGTTATGACAACTCGCTTTTCTGTTTGTATCTACATGTTTGGGCCGCCGGTGGCCTATTAGCCATTAGGTCTCCTTAATCCTCCTAAACTGAAGCCAAACTACTCTAAAGACAAAATTCATGTGTCCAAAATCTGATTCGAAAATGACTCTTATGCTAACAGAAAAGTCCAAATGGGGAAAATTGGATTATAATATCCATATTTGAATATGTGGAAAGAAAAGTGACTTGTTAAAATCAATTGATTGATATAACATCATTTGTTTGATAGATATTGTGTTCGAATTTTCTTGTTTATAGTGTGAACAAAATTATGAACATAAGATATGGTGGATCTATACAAACTTTAACTGCATAAGTTTAATTTCATTTGAGGTGATATGAAAAAGAATGGTATAAGAATTAGATCCATATTTGAAGATGTCTCAACAACCTTAGTAATTGGGATCACCAACAATATGACACGCTAAATATCCTGATAAATTTTGTAATGCTCTGATACATTTACAGTTATAAGTTACAAACCTAACAAACCGGTTACAAAAACGCATATGTTTTCTCATGCCGTATAGGCAAAATATATCTGTATAGCCATAATTTTTGCGTTTTTGTCAATAATAGCTACTTTTGGAAAAATACCAGATATAGTCACTTCTGTCCAATTCTTTAACGGTGTCATCTAACAAGCTGACTAGACTAGCAGAACCGATTGACGTAGCATTTTATATTCAAAATTAATGCCACGTGGAAAATACTCAAGTTCAATCCTTTTATTTTAATTAAGTTAACATCCTTTTAAATTTAAATAAATATGGTCTCCTTCTCATGTCCCAACTCCACACCAAATGTTCACATTCTCATCGTCAAAACCCTCACGTCGCTGCCGTCATCGTCGAACTCCACGACTAAATCCTCATCTCGACGTTCCCTTCGATGGCGACAACAACAACAATTCGTCCATTTCTCTCCTCTTCTCAGACACCAGCCATTCCCGACCACACCTCAAAAACCCAATTCTTTCTGACCTAGATTCAATTTACATGGTTTGGAAGGTTGAACTTGAGCAATGCCCCGAAAAAATACAGAGATAAGGGAAGTTGGTTGAGCGACTAATTGGATGAGTTTTTTTGTGGAGCTGCAAATTGGGGGATGGAATTTAGATTTTTAGATTGGATTTTTGGGGGATGGGGGGATTTGGTTTTGCGGTGGGGGACTTGCCCCTTCTCTCTCACTAGTCTCAGAAAGCAATTATGTTTCTTGCTCACCTTGCTTCCACCGCCGCCGCCTCCGGCTGCAAAGCAGTAGCCTCTCGTACGAGACATATCGCAGTCGAACCCACCGCCGCCTCCGGAGGATTAGACTTTGGAAGCAGCGCCCTTGAAGTTGGCGGAGTTGTGGGCTCCACAGTTGCTGACGGTGCAGAGCTTCGTCCTCCCGTGCCGTCCGAAGAAGAAGAACAATCATTGCAGTCGGCAGGGGGTTCGTTGTCGTTGTGGCTTTCTTCGACGGCGGAGGGATTGGATCTGAACCAAACAAAGAAAGAAGTAAACTAAAAAGGCTATGCACCAGTAATTATTAAATATAACTAAAAATATGATTATTAAATAAAAATTCAAATATGACGTGTCTTTTTCTGCTTATTTGGCATTGACGTGTGCGCTGAGTTGGAGCCTAGTCAGCGAATTGTTAAAAAAGTTAACGGTGTTACTAACACCGTTAAAGTATTTAGCGGAAATGACTAAATTTGTCATACAACAACTAGAAAATCTGGTTATAAGTGGTATTTCTCCAAAATTGGCTATTATTGTCACAAACGCAAAAGTTTTGGCTATAGAAGTGTATTTTGCCTACCGCATATCCATGCCCTAGCACTCGTAACGAAAAATAGTATGGATAAGACTCACATTTGGATCTTTTTCGAAGGCTGCTCGAGTTACTGAAATGAACCGTTCAAAGCATGTAAAAATTAAAAAGGTCTCGTATTTGAATCCCGATCATCATTAATATAACCAGGTGGATTTTAGTATCATATCTCATCTAGATTCAAATATTTGAGAGCTGGAGGAAATGGATGTTGAGTAGTTTGTTGAGTATTTGACCAAATTGTGAGAGGGCAAAAGGATCGAAATGGATGGAGTGAATCCAACTCCCATGCTATGAGATACGATCGGCCCCCTTCCCTCCCTACCGGCCATATGCTCTGTCGCCGCCGGCGCCCACAAATGTTTCCATGTGGATGGCCGGCCGCCGGCGCCCTGAATTATATCACCGTTCATCTCCCATAACAACATATCTCAGTCCCTAGTATGCAGGCACTGTCAGCCTATGTATGTAAGGAATCAATACGTAGAATGAGTGAGAAGGGCGACAAGGGGCGTGCGGTTGTTTGCTTCGCTAGGTGCAGAGACAACGACGTCGTGTCGCTTGGGAGACCACTTTTCCCAATTGTGGGGCTGCGGGGTCCCGCCCTATCCTTCTGCCTGCAGCAGCCCCTGCTTCGTATCTTTAGTCTGCGCCGATTTGATTTGGGGACCATATAGATTACCATATCTGATATTTCTCCAATTCATTCATCTACATAACACATGATATGCATTTGCTCTTGTAAAAGTTTATGTAGTTTGCAAAATTCTACCGAATCGGTGGTCCGATCGAAAAAAAATTGTTTATCAAATCTAAGTTGGGAGACAATTTCGGTGGTATAAAATACTTTCTCACGGTCACTACATTGTGATTTTACAATACTTGTATTATATCGTCAATCATGTCGAAATCGTGCATTAGTGATTTAGTGCTCATATAAAATCATGTTCATTTTATTCTGTGATACACATCTCAATTGGTACAATCTGTTCATGCCTACAGTAGTATTTTTTTTTACTTACCAAATTAGCATCATTCCAAAATTAAGATTTCTATATTATACCTAACTAATGGCAGAGTCAGAAATCGACCGAATGAGCGGCTGATTTAAATGGTGATAAATGGAGAAAGAGGGTTAAGACCTTACCGATTGCTCTATTTTCTAAAATTGTCACGAATTTCACATGTAATTTTACTCATATTTCAAAGTTGAAGTGGACCTAACTCCGTCGCGGAGTATACTACTAACTAACTCCCACAAGGTGACGACTAAAAAGGTCGCTCGCTAGCTAGCTAGCTAGGTGCTGAACTAGAAATAGTTTTGGCATACATAAAAGGCGTATCGGGTCGAACCCGAAATAGCAATGGATGGCGAGGAGTGGTGGGAAATGGGCGTATCTTCTTTATACGATCTTCCATCCTGACTCTATCTCGCTCTGGAATATGTGTATATAATAGCTGTATGTATAGGGCAAAGGCATGCTTCGTTTATATGGATAGTTGCCCGTGTGCAGGGTGGGGACTAGCTAGTTGTCGTTTCATTCTCAAGTGGGCAGCCGCTTTCTGGCCTTTGCCCCCCCAAACTAACCTTCTCCAAAAGATTGTTTGGACCATTGGAGAGTTGTGTATTCCCTAGGGTTTTCTCACTTCACTTTGGTTTAACAGTTTCTGTCTCAAGTAGGTTTTCAGGTTCCGCGAAATCAAACAAAGAAATAGAAATGAACATAAATAGACTAGTTTATTTATGTGTGGTTTCTCGTCTGCCATATATACCCTGACAAATCAAAACCGAATTTGGTTGATAATCCGACCACTCAATTGATACGGATAGTTCCTTAATGGTAATCTACAAGACAAACAAGTATTTCTTGTGTTCTTTTTTAATCTAATATGTAATCATAGTTTTCACTCTTGGATCATATTGGAAATAACCTTATTTTCACCTTAGGTTAAATCAAAATGCAAGCAAGAAAGAATGACGAGACTCAAGAATAAATAATCAAACGAATCATATTAAGTACAATATAACATCGTGAAATCGCTCTTGTTATAAACACTCGTCAAACAAAAGTCAACTCACGGGCTTAAAGTTTGCACAGGCCAACCATACCTTATGCTTTAATCAACTGTTTATATTTGGGGGTCATGGAGATTCGAACACACGAAAACTTGGCGAAACCAGTTCTTATACCATGTCATAAACCAGTTGGTCCCAATAATTCGAGTTCTTGGGAGAAGGTCATTATGGATCTTATACCACTCTCTTACACGCCCCTCAAACGAAAGCCAACTCACGAGCTTAAAGTTTGCACAGGCCGACCATACCTTGTATTTTAATCAACTGTTAATATTGGGGGTCGTGGAGATTGCAACACACGACCACTTGGCCAAACCAGCTCTAATACCACGTCATAAAACAATTGGTCCCTGAGAAAATCGAATAAACGAAAGCAAAGGACACACGATTTTACGTGGTTTCCTCGTTCGGTGTGAACGAGACTACTCCACGAGAGCAAGAGCTCTAGATTAGGTTTTATTATTCTTAGCTGCTTAGCTGCTGCAGTACAAGCTACAATGCTTAAATACTGAAACCCTTGGACAACTAAGGTTCGGCCAAGGAGGCCTAATTACAAAATCATCATTCATCATAAAGTAAAGGACACTAAGGTTCGTGGCCAGCACGCACGTGCATGCATGCTTCGCTACACTCCCCCTCAAGCGGAGGCGTGAATATTATGAAGGCCAAGCTTGGAAGACAGAAAAGAGAACTGATCCGCGCCCAAGCCTTTTGTAAACATGTCCGCGAGTTGATCATGGGTAGAGATCTTCTGTGGTTCAATCTCACGAGAAACAACTCGTTCACGAACGAAGTGGCAATCCATCTCAACGTGCTTCGTGCGCTCATGGAAAACTGGGTTGGCAGCGATGTGCAATGCAGCCTGGTTGTCACAGTGTAAAGGTGTGGGAGAGGCCATGACAATGCCAAGTTCGCGAAACAGGCACCTCAACCAAATGATTTCACTAACGGCGCTCGCCATGGCTCTATATTCCGCCTCTGCAGAAGAGCGGGCAACCACTGTTTGCTTCTTCGTACGCCAGGAGATCGGACTACAACCCAGCTGGATAAAATATCCTGTCGTTGACCGCCGAGTTTGCTGGCAACCACCCCAATCTGCATCACAAAATGCCGTAAGATCCGGCGAACCCGCAGAAGAGAAAAACAAACCTTGGCCAGGAGACCCTTTCAAATAACGAAGAACACGGTGTGCAGCGTCGACATGAGCTTGCCGAGGATCATGAACAGCCTGGCTAAGGACGTTGACAGCATACACAATGTCAGGCCGAGTGACCGTCAAGTATAATAAACGACCGATGAGCCGACGATAAGACGAAGGGTCTGAAGCCGGCGGACCATCAAGCCTACTGAGGTGATGGTTTTGCTCAATCGGGAACAAAGAGGGGCGAGATCCTTGAACACCAGAATCTGCCAAAATATCGAGTGCGTACTTCCGTTGAGTGAGTACGATACCTTGCTTAGAGCGAGAAACTTCAACACCAAGGAAATACTTCAAGGTGCCGAGATCTTTAATGCTGAACTGTTGATGGAGAAAGTCCTTGACGCGCTGGATAGTAGGAAGAGAAGTCCCACCAAGGATAATGTCATCAACGTAAATGAGAGCCACCAGAAAGATATCACCATGACAAAAAGTGAACAGAGAGGGGTCGGCTTTGGACATGGTGAAGCCGAACCCGACCAGAGCATTAGTGAACTTCGTGTACCAATTGCGCGAAGCTTGCTTGAGTCCATAAAGGGACTTCCGAAGACGACAAACACGATCATCACCAGGACGGGCAAAACCCTGAGGAACACGCATATACACTTCTTCTTCCAGGTCGCCGTGTAAGAATGCGTTATTCACGTCCAGCTGATGTAGAAACCAGCCAAGCTTGGCGGCAAGGGCCAAGACACATCGAACAGTCACGAGCTTTGCAACGGGAGCGAATGTATCATGGAAATCGATCCCCTCGATCTGAGTGTAACCCTTAGCCACTAACCGAGCCTTGTAGCGCTCGATCGTACCATCCGGATTATATTTGATTTTATACACCCATTTTGCATCAATCAAACGTTTGCCCGGTGGTAATGGGGTAAGCTCCCACGTCCCATTTGCTTCTAGGGCTGCAACCTCCTTCTGCATGGCGTCACGCCAAACTTTGTGGCGAACTGCGTCATGGAAAAAACGAGGCTGCGTAACACGAGAGATAGCTGCAAGATAGGCTCGATGATCAGAAGATAAACGAGCATAGTTAACAACAGCATTCAAGGGGTATCGTACACGAGAAACATGACCTGAATGTGTTGTAGGTAACCGGACATCATAGTTGTCTACCAAGAAGCGAGGCGGTTGACGATTCCGATCACTTCGGCGTGGCTCGGGAGCAGCTGGCACAGGGGAGTCGGGTGCAGGAGCTGCATCGGAACCGGAAGGATCCAAAGGCAAAGGGGAGGAGGAGGAAGGAGTTGCACCAATGGCAGGCTCCTCATCAGCCGAGTGAATCAGCTCCTCATCCTCGGCCAAAACAGGGCCAGCAGGAGCACGGAGAGGTGCTGCGGGCGGTGACGTAGTATCCCGAAATGGGAATTTGTCCTCACAAAAGACAACGTCGCGGGAAGTGAACAACTTCCGTGTCGCCAAATCCATGACACGATAGCCTTTCTGTGAAGCAGGGTAACCAAGAAAGATACAGGCTCTCCCCCTTTCACCAAACTTGTCCAAGTGAGATGCTGTATCTTTTGCGTAAGCAAGGCAACCGAAAGTTTTAAGATGACCATAGGCTGCGCGCTTCCCAAAAAGGCGCTCGTAAGGAGTGTGGTTCTGTGTAGCGACGGTAGGCAGCCGATTTATCAAATAGACAGCCGTGAGTAGGCATTCTCCCCAGAAACGGATGGGAAGGTTCGCATGGAACCGTAATGCACGAGCAACTTCCAGCAAGTGCCTATGCTTCCTCTCCACTACGCCGTTTTGTTGCGGAGTATTTACACAGGAGGTCTGAAGTACAATTCCTTCCTGCGCATAGTACTCGTTCAATGCAGTGGTTTGAAACTCGCGCCCGTTATCAGTTTGAATGCGACGCACTGAACGATCGAATTGTCGAACGACCTGTTGACAAAACATCTGTAAATAGCGGCTAGCCTCATATTTGTGTCGAAGAAGAAAAACCCATGTACCGCGGCTGTAATCGTCCACAATGGTTAAAAAATAATGAGCCCCACTGAGACTGGGAGTAGGATAGCCTCCCCAAATATCGACGTGGATCATATAATAAATATCCATGGTTTTGATAGAACTAGAAGGAAAAGGATGTCTAGTTTGTTTAGCTCGCAAACAGGCCGAGCAATGATGCAAATCGGACCGACAATCCGAAACTAAATGCAACAGAGAGAGCTTCTCAGAGGAGGGATGCCCGAGACGTGAATGCCAGAGATCCAAACTCGCGCCCTGCTGCACGACATGCGCGACAGGTGCTTGAAACTCCTCGAACAGCCGTAAATGATAGAGACCATCAACTTGTTTCCCCATCCCAATCATCTTTCTGGAGGGTAAGTCCTGGAGAACACAAAAGTCGTGTAGGAAAATCAGTGCTAGGGGAAACTCCTTTGTCAACTGACTGATAGATAACAAGTTGCATTTAAAATCCGGCACGAGCAACACGCGCGGAAGAACAAGACCATTTGAGAGCTGAACTGAACCGACTCCATGAACACCAACAGCAGTGCCGTTTGGAATTCGCACTTGCAGTTCAGATTCGGACTGAGTTTCAAACAACACACTCTTGTCCTTGACGATATGGGCATTACACCCGGAATCCAGAATCCATGAGGTAACGCCAAGAGAATTACCTGAAAATGCGTTGTCGTCAAAAGTCGGCGACTCCGCGCATAGAAACTTCTTCAACTGGGCCAATTGGGACTTGGTGAGACCGGGGATAGCACCTTCGTCAACGTTGGCAGCAGCTGCCCGGGGACTAGGGCGTGACTTCCCATCATTGCGACGTCCCTTCCCAGCAGAATTACGACCCCCGCGCTCCAAATATCCAGGGGGATAACCAATAAGCTCGAAACACCGGTCCTTAGTGTGACCCAACTTCCGACAATGCTAACAGCGCGGTTTATCATCCGCCCCACCGCGATCAGGAAGATCCTCGAGCTTACCACGTTCTTGAGACGCAACGAAAGCTGCAGCCTCAACCTTCGGCTTACGATTCATAGCAATCTTGCGTTGCTGCTCATCAGTCGCGACCATGTTGTAGGCCTCGGTGAGCGACGGCGGCGGCTTCATGGAAAGAATTTGAGATTTCACGGTTGAATATACATCGTCCAAACCCATGAGAAAGTCAAACAGCCGAATGCTCTCATCGCGATCACGAGAACGCTTCTCCATATCACAAGTACAATGCCCACACGTACAGGAAGGTGTGGGAGAAATTTGCTGTGCTTCCTCCCAAAGAGTACAAAGTTCAGTGTAGTAGGCTGAGATACTTAGCTTTTCTTGTGGGAGAAGGCTGATGTGCCGACGGAGCTCGTAATGGCGGGTAGCGCTGCCTTGTCCAAAACGAGTGCGAAGGTCATCCCAGATGTGCTGGGCTGTGCGAGCGAACCTGACGCTGCGGCGGACTTCGGGAGTCATCGAAGCCTTGAGCCACCCTTTAATGGTAGCATCACAACGCAGCCAAGCTTGCTCTTCACGAGGGTTCCTCGGTTGCTGGAGTGAGCCGTCGACGAACCCTAATTTATTTTTGGCAAGGAGCGAATCGGTCATATCAATAACCCATTCGCCATAATTATTGGCGGTGAGAAGATCACCGACATGCTGAGGGTCTGTTTGCGGAAGAAAGTAGACCGAATTAACATCAGAGGTGAGCGGTTTATCGGGAGCTCCACTGCTACCCGTACCATCCTTGGGTTCCTTCGAAGTGTCGCCCATAATGCAACAAAGGGTGGGAGAGAATCACCACGGCAGAAGGAAAAACCAACAGGGTGGATCTTACTGCTCTGATACCATGAGAAAATCGAATAAACGAAAGCAAAGGACACACGATTTTACGTGGTTTCCTCGTTTGGTGTGAACGAGACTACTCCACGAGAGCAAGAGCTCTAGATTAGGTTTTATTATTCTTAGCTGCTTAGCTGCTGCAGTACAAGCTACAATGCTTAAATACTGAAACCCTTGGACAACTAAGGTTCGGCCAAGGAGGCCTAATTACAAAATCATCATTCATCATAAAGTAAAGGACACTAAGGTCCGTGGCCAGCACGCACGTGCATGCATGCTTCGCTACAGTCCCAATAACTCGAGTTGTTGTGAGAAGGTTATTATGAATCTTATACCACTCTCTTACATGCCCCCTCAAACAAAAGCCAACTCACGGGCTTGAAGTTTGCACACCCCGACCATATCTTGTGCTTTAATCAACTGTTAATATTGGGGGTTGTGGAGATTCAAACACACGACCACTTGGCCAAACCAGATCTTATACCATGTCATAAACCAGTTGGTCGAGTTGTTGGGAGACGGTTATTATAGATCTCATACCACTATCTTACAGTTATGAGTTCCACTAACCCAAATAACAAGAAGTTTTTGCTACTCATAGCAGAAGAGGAACACATAGTGGCAAGACTATAGATTAAACTAATGAAACCTTCTAATATCCTCGTGTTCTAGCTCCTCTAATCCTTCATTTCCTGCAACTGGATTCGTCTTCTCCTCGTTCAGAGATGAGCTCTACGGTTGCCAGTTTTAGCGTTTTTGTCAAAGGGTGTTCATGACCGAGTACCAAAAGTTGTCTTTGTTAGAATATGACTTGAATTTGATTTGGGTTAGATTTGTGTTTTGGGCCTATTCTGTTTGGGTTTGGGATTGGGCTTTGTTTGACCTTTTCCTTGTATGTTTGGGAAAAGGTGTTTGGTTTTCTGTTTGGGATTAGGAGAAGAGTTCTATAAATACTCTTCATCACCCTAGTATGTTGTAGGGTCAGTCAGGTTAGTTTGTTTGGTTTGTCCGTTTGGAATTTGGTTTGTAACCTGTACTCTCCTCAAAATCAGTGAAATTTGTTCTCCCCTACCCGTGGATTAGCTAGTAGTCTAGTACACATTGTGTTAGTGAACCACGTTAAATTTGTGTTCGTTTGTGTTGCTTGGAATATCGATTGCACGCTTCTGTTCTGACAAGTGGTATCGGAGCCTTTGGTTGCGGTTTTGGGAATTTGGCGCTAGACTGAAGTTTTGCTTTGTGGAGGTAGCTTTCAATTCTTCAGCTTGGTTCGGTGGAGGAATCGCTTTAAAGTTGACTCTGGGTAGTTGTGTTTTGGTCTCGCTTTTTTGGTGAGAAATTTGGTTGGAGTTTGTTTGATATTAAGAATGGCTGCTATCAGTATGAAGATTGAGTAGTCTATTTGGAGTTGCAGGTTTGGAGTTGGAAGTAAATCTGATGTTGGTGTTATCGATGGAAATAACACCAAGTTGGTTATGCATGGCAAGTCCCAACATGGGTTGGACTTGCTGCATGTTTTGATTTGTTGATCGCCCTTAGGGGCATTTGGAGGCATGGGAGATTCTGTTACAACTGATTTGGAGGAGTTTGGTACGTCTAACAATTTTGATTGCATCTGAGTTTGGCGATTTGCATCGCGTTTGGTCTGGCGATATGAATCGCATTTGGATATGTCTGGAAATCTTGATTACGTTTTGAGTTTGGCGGTTTCGATCGCATTTGGATACGTATGGTGATATGGATCGCGTCTGGGTACATCTGGCAACTTTGGTTGCGTCTGGTACATCTGGTATTTGACAGAGAATTCAAGTCAAGGTGGAGATTGTTAGAATATGACTTGAATTTGATTTGGGTTAGATTTGTGTTTTGGGCCTATTCTGTTTGGGTTTGGGATTGGGCTTTGTTTGACCTTTTCCTTGTATGTTTGGGAAAATGTGTTTGGTTTTCTGTTTGGGATTAGGAGAAGAGTTCTATAAATAATCTTCATCACCCTAGTATGTTGTAGGGTCAGTCAGGTTAGTTTGTTTGGTTTGTCCGTTTGGAATTTGGTTTGTAACCTGTACTCTCCTCAAAATCAGTAATATTTGTTCTCCCCTGCCCGTGGATTAGCTAGTACACATTGTGTTAGTGAACCACGTTAAATTTGTGTTCGTTCGTGTTGGTTTGGATGATCGTTTGCACGCTTCTGTTCTGACAGTCTTCTTGGGGTTTTCAAGAGAATATTTATAGGCTCGACTCCTGGCATAATTAGCAATCTATGGTTCTCTTTGTTGGGGTAAATCCATAAATTTTCTCATTGACATCTAGTCTGGGTTTGAATCAGGGTAGCCCATGCATGTTCGTTAATTTTAGCCTTAGAATCATAGTTAGGCCCTTTTGTGTGTGACTCGCAGACGGGATATGCCATTCTGTTATTGAACCGTAATTGGACCATGAAACTAATTACTAATTAGGGTTCTGGAAATTTATACATCTTCCTTGTCTTGTTTTAGAATATGATCTTGTTTGATCTTATGTGATCGTATATTCGTCCTCTCTCATGCCAATGCCAAAAAATCACATAAAATACCTCCAAAAGGTTCCAAAACTATACAATTGATCCTAGAGGCAATATATCACACAAAATAATGAATAGGAAAGGAATTTCATACTAAAATGACTAAAGATGCAAATAAAGTAAATAAAAATTCACTGAAAAAAAGTATGATAACACTACACTTGAAGTGTAATCAAATTAGCCCACACTTTAGCTTCTTTTTTTTTCTTTTGTCTTTAGCAAAGACATAATCAAAATTGTGAAACTCGCTAAATACTAGTGATGACACTTAGTTTGCAGGCCATGGTTTACTAGCAACTTACAAAGTCAACAACACAGAAATCCTATTTGAGAAGCATAATATGTAGGATAGCTTCCTTGTTGAGATCTCAATTGGTATCCTTGGTTAATATAGTTGACATCAGTATGTCATTGCCCTCCATGGTTATTGCAATTGACACCTTCATGGCCTTCTTCTCCACATGTTTCACAAACGAACAAGGATGCCACCATTTTATTCTTTGACTTTGTTGATGTTTTCCTAGGTTTATTTGTAAGCTCCTTCATAGGTTCACGAAGGGTGGCG